ATTATGCACAATGATCTATGCTCACATTTGTTATTATTTAGGAACAATTAAAACACTGTACTTTTCCCCCATTTTTTATAATGAGTCTGCTTTATTTATGATGCGTGAGCATTTCACTGCTGTCCGGAGGACCTAGAAGCTCCATATGAACATGTTTATTATATGATTGAATAATTTCCATCTCTCTGATTGGCTGAGATCCAACTATGTTAGAAAAATACTACGTTGTATTGACCTACACGTGACGTTCCAGGTCAATACAAGGATTTATTTCCTCTACATTGATCTAAAATAGATTGGGAAATTCCAAATTGATACAAATTGTTTCAATCTAAATAAAATTAGATGTTAGATCTGCTTGCATACTCCCTACACTAACATCTAACAACATCCCATAGAGGGTCACATTAGAGGTCAAATTCGGAACAACTCTAGACTTATTCCCTTCGATTGCGTCAACAAATATCCGATGATTTTGCCAGCGACAATTTCATTGGTTGATAGATATTGACCTCTGAAGTGCGTATCTAACATCTAATTTTAATTGGATTAAAATTGTTTTGGAAAGCTATTTAAATGACTATGATTTTTATTTTCATGTAAACAAAGCTAAAGCGAATATATATTTTAGGATGAGGGTGGTAAGAGAGGATGCCGGGACCTCCCTCCGACAACTGAACAACAATAATTTTTTTTTTTTACTTTTTGGCAGTCAGTTTTCCCTGATTATTGTGAATATTGTACTCCTCAGATGGCTAAATCATTGTATTGACCTCAAAACAGCAATAATTTGTATAATATTTAAGCATTATCGGGTAGTGTAGGTTCAGGTTGTTCATATCTTGACCCCTGGAGCAAGGGTTGAGCCATTATAGAGGATTAAATTTTTAAGAAAGATAACATAGATTTTTTTTTTAAAATCTTCTTTAGAGAGAAAAGATGAGATTGTTAATTTTTTTCTGGAGCATCCTTGGGAAATTATAGAGTCAAGTTCGTTCAAATAATGCACCTAAGAGTAGTACCACAATGGGTAATCACGTTTTTACAGAGGTATACATAGCAAAAATCGTTTTAACAAAAGACATGATTGACCATCAATAAAAAGAATCAAAAAGGTAATGTGCATTAAAATTATTGAAATTATGACCAATCGATAGAACAGGGAGTCATTTAAATGGTTCTCAGTTGTTCTAAGGAACTTAAAAGGCTGTGTCCTTAAAAAAATCATCTTATAAACAGCAAGGCCCTATTATCTTTTTATCTTTTATATCAATATAAAAGCATCCGTATAACGAATAATTTTAACTATAAAGGTGATAGTATTTTCTATAAGACAAATTTTTCAACCCGAAAAGTGCTGGAAGCAACTTCCCCAGGCCCAGTAATTATATGAAAATTTAACCTTCTTTTAATAAACGTCGTGAATTAACATTATACGCATTGAACTATGTAAATAAAGGGAAGAAAACAAACAGCGCACAACTTGCTCCCAGCACTTTTACATATCATAATTTATAGTTAAGCGGACATTGTAGAACTTGATAACCTGAATTGAAATAAAAAACATTTAAAGTTATCTCGTTTCCAAGCGCTGTTGGTACATGTGTAAGTCAAGGTTACAAATAGATAAGGCAGTTATATATAAATGTTTTATCTACCACTGTAGGACGTATTATATTTTAATAATACATGTTCAATTTACAGTCCCTCACCTGGATTATAGAAGCATAACAGAAATGCCGGGAAGTGGAAAAGTAAGACTTTACTATTTATTGCTATCCGTTTTTAGCTCTACTGGTCAGAGACCAGAAGAGCTTATGCGATAGTAAGGTGTCCGTCGTCCGTCCGTCTGTCTGTCTGTCCGTCTGTAAACAATTTTTCAAAACGCTACTCCTCCTACAGTTTTGGTCTGATTTCAATATAACTTGGCACACAAGTAGACTACACTAAGATACATAAAATAGTGCATCCGATTTTGATTTCGATGAACGGTGTTGCCATGGTTACTAAAAATAGAATTTTCTGTGAAATTCCTTTAAAACGCTACTCCTCCTACAGTTTTGATCTGATTTCAATATAACTTGGCACACAAGTAAACTACACAAAGATGCATAAAATAGTGCATCGGTTTTTGATCCAAATTAACGGTGTTGCCATGGTTACTATAAATAGAATTTTCTGTGAAATTCCTTTAAAACGCTACTCCTCCTATAGTTTTGATCTGATTTCAGTATAACTTGGCACACTAGTAGACTACACTAAGATACATGAAATAGTGCATCGGTTTTTGATTTCGATGAGCGGTGTTGCCATGGTTACTATAAATAGAATTTTCTGTGAAATTTCTTTAAAACGCTACTCCTCCTACAGTTTTGATCTGATTTCAATATAACTTGGCACACAAGTAGACTACACAAAGATACATGAAATAGTGCATTGGTTTTTGATTTTGGTGAACAGTGTTGCCATGGTTACTAAAAATAGAATTTTCTGTGAAATTCCTTTAAAATGCTACTCCTCCTACAATTTTGATCCGATTTCAATATAACTTGGCACACAAGTAGACTACATAAAGATACATAAAACAGAGCATCTGTTTTTTATTTCGATGAACGGTGTTGCCATGGTTACTAAAAATAGAATTTTCTGTGAATTTCCTTTTAAACGCTACTCCTCCTACAATTTTGATCTGATTTCAATATAACTTGGCACACAAGTAGACTACACAAAGATATATGAAATAGTGCATCGGTTTTTGATTTCGATGAACGGTGTTGCCATGGTTACTAAAAATAGAATTTTCTGTGAAATTCCTTTAAAATGCTACTCCTCCTACAGTTTTGATCTGATTTCAGTATAACTTGGCCCACAAGCAGACTACACTAAGATACATAGAATAGTGCAGCTGATTTTGATGAACGGTGTTGCCATAGTTACTAAAATTAGAAATGTCTATGAAATTCCTTTAAAACCCTACTCCTTCTACAGTTGTAGTCTGATGGCAATGTCTTCTTTCTCATCCTTTGTTATAAGTACAAACCAGTAGAGCTACAGTCTCGACAGAGGCTTCTGGTTGTCCGTCGGATTTTGTCGGTCGTCAACATTTGAACATTTTCAACTTCTCTGAAACTGTTTAACATTTTTCAAACAATTGACATTAAAATGTAGTATCTATGGGTGACGGGTAAAAACTTATGAATCTCGGGAGTCCCTGCCCCACTGGGACCTGAGGGGAGGAAGTTAATCACCAAAATAAACTAAATCTTTTCAAATCTTCTTCTTCACTCATGGACATTGTTGCATTATGACATACATTATAAATTTTACTAATGTTTGCTTTCATCAAATCACTATATAATTTCAGAAAAAAATTCTCCGTATCAGGATTAACCCTCATATTTTTTTTACTCTTTAAGTAGATGAGAAGAATCCTACTTTACTCAACACACTTTAGAAATATGATCGTGTAGTACAAAACTACCATCTATTCTGCATATTGCAGAACTTAGTTGTGAAGTTTTTTTAGGTCACCTAAGCCGAAGGCTCAAATGAGCTTTTCTGATCACATTCTGTCCGGCGTCCGTCTGTCTCTCCGTAAACTTTTCACATTTTCGGCTTCTGCTCAAAAACCTCGAGGCCAATTTCAATCAAACTTGCCACAAAGCATTCTTGGCCACGGTTGAAGGGGATTCAAATTTGTTCAAATGAAGGGCTACGCCCTTAATTGAAAATTAGTGAAAATTTGGTGGCATGTTTTAAAAATCTTCTTTTAAAGAACAACTGTGCCAGGAAAGATGAAACTTTTAAGGAAACACCACCAGGTAGTGTATGTTTAAGCTTGTTCAAATCATGACCCCTTGGTGTAGGGCGGGTCCACAATGGCCGATCAAAGTTAACATAGAAATATATAGGAAAACTTTTAAGAAATCCTCTCAAGTATAGCAAAGCCATAATTGATCATATCTATATGGAAGCATTCTCAGGTAGTGTAGATTCAAATTTGTTCAAATCAGTGACACCCGGGGGTCAAGCGGGGTCACATTGGACGATCAAAGTCTTACGTAAAAATGAATAGGAAAATTCTTTTAAAATCATTTCCAGAATAAAAAAGCCATAATTGATCATATTTATCTGGAAGCATCCTCAGGTAGTTTAGATTCAAGTTTATTCAAATCATAACAACCGGGGTAGGATGGGGTCACAATTCACGATTAAAGTTGTACACAGAAATATATAGGAAAATTCTTTAACAATCTTCTCCTCAAGAATAGCAAAGCCATAAATGATCATATTGATATGGAAGAATCCCCAGGTAGTTTTGATCCAAGTTTGTTCAAATCATGACATGCGGCGGTAGGGTGGGGCCACAATGGCCAATCAAAGTTTTACATAGACATATGTAGGAAAATTCTTTAAAAATCATCTCAAAAATAGAAAAGCCATGATTGGTCATGGGACTACTTTTGGAGTAAACTTTTCATTAATAAACTTCTATTTACTTTTTTTCTAGCCACAATGCTCAGTTATGCGATATGGCCCATTGGCGTCTTGTTCTTATTAAGCAAAGAACTGGTTCAAATAAAGCAGTTTATCATGAGCTTCTTTTTAAATTTCAGTCGAATATGAAATCCATTGATAACTCTCGCAAGTTTGCAGAAGGAAAAAGATGTGCTTTGGATATCATCAATAACGTTGGAAACCTTTTTCAAACTGTTGACAAAGCTATGCATGGTAAGAACTTTATCCATAGGTACCTTTTGATTAAGAATATTTTAAGGAATCACTGTCTAGTTAAAGTATGCCATGGCATCATCGATGGGTGAAAACGTTGAATAATTGCTTAACGGACGAAGCTCATTATACATAAATTTCCCCTACGTTTTTATCTATCAATGAAGTCGGTGGCATACTCTTAAATTTACTTTTACTATATGTTTTCGTGTTAATATTTTCACATTCTTTTCTGCAAACAGTCAACCTCTTTCGACAAATTTTGGTTCAAGGCATCTATGAGTGAAGTGGAACAAAAATTATGATTTTCATGGTCCCTGTCCGCCATCCGGGGTCTGAGGGGTGGGACCAAAACCACTAAAACTAGATATCTTTGAGATAGTGGCAATCTCAAACGGCCCCGCTTTTAGCAATGAACATGAAAATGTATTGTACTGAGAAGGGTTTATTTTAAGGTGTTTGAGATTAAAGGGGACAAAAAGTAAGTACTCCCGGAAAAATAATACAATTAAAAGTTTATGAAATGTATCCTCCATGAAAATTGTTGCATATCCTCTATCATAATATGGAAGGAAGATCACAGATGTTCCATATCCAGTCAATTTGTTTGAGGCTGAGTGGACTGAAGGGAAAGAAATTATGCAGCAAGACTATAAAATGGGAAGCTATTATTTCCTTGATCCTTGACCTGAAAAAAAAAATGCTCAAGGTCACTGCACAATCACTGGCCAAAGGCACTCTATGAGTGAAGTATGAGGAACACTGGTCAAATAGGATATAAAATATGCTCCGAACAAGGATTTTCACATGATTCTGCCATGACCTTGACCTTTTACCTAGAAACATGGTTCAAGGTCACTGCACACCCTTCATCCAAAGGCACTCTGTAAAGTATTCTCCAGATTAAGCCAAAGAAAGTTAAAATATGCTCCAGACAAAAATTTAAAAAGGAAGACTACTTTTGACCTTAACACTTGACCTTGAAAATTTGCTCAAGGTCACTGCACATCCATTATCCAAAGGCACTCTGTGGGTGAAGTACGAGCCACACTGGACAAATGGGAGAGAAGATCTGCTCCGAGAAAGGATTTTTCATATAATTCTTATAAGACCTTGACCTTTGACCTAGAAACATGGTTTTAGGTCAATGCACACCGGTTACTTAAAGGCACTCTGTGAGTGAAGTATGAGCCAGAAAGAGCCAAGGAGAGAAGATATGATCCGGACAAGTATTTTTCATAGTATGACCTTTTACCTAGAAACAAGGTTCAAGGTCACTGCACACAAGTTACCCAAAGGCTCACTGTGGGTGAAGTATGAGCCAGATTGGGCCAAGGAGAGAGAAGAGAGTGTATGTTTTTAATGTTATTCTGCTATGACCTTGACCTTTGACATAGAAACATGGTTCATGGTCACTGCACACCGGTTACCCAAAGGCACTATGTGAGTGGAGTATGAGCCATAGTTGGCCAATGAGAGAGGAGATATGCTCCTGACTAGCATTTTCATACAATTCTGCTATGACCTTGACCTTTGACCTAGATACATGGTTCAAGGTTACTGCATTCAGTTTACTAAAAGGCACTGTGAGTGAAGTATGAGCCAGATGAGGCCAAGGAGAGAGGAGATATGCTCCGGACAAGGATTTTTCATACAATTCTGCTACAGTCCCTGAAACGTTCTTCTATCCCACCTGAACGATGAACGAACGGAGAGCGAACGGTGAGTGAACGATGTGCGAACGCTGAACGCAACTTAGTGAACGTTGTGTGAACGGTGAGTGAACGCAGAACGCGAACGGAGCGCTGACGCGAGCGCAAAATGAACGGTGAACGATTTATTCGGAATGCCTTCGTTTCTTCCTTGCATTGAGATTATTTTATTATTCTATAATTCTAATTCCAGGCTCCGGGATCATGAAGCATCTTAAGCTTAAGTCAAAAAATGCCTTAGATGCTGAATTTTTTTAGAGGTCAAGCAGCCCAAAATGAAAATGCCTTCCGATTTTGTATCATCAGTCTGCTGTTGTATGCAAATTATGAGTTTCCTTAAACAAGATTTAAAGATTTTATAGATAATTGAAATTTTGACTTAAGTCTAAGTTAGTTTCATGATCCCGGGGCCAGGTGCTTTGATATACATAAAAAATAAATAAATAAAATAAATAAATAAATAGTACTTTTTTCTGTACATATATGTACCTATGTTTTAAATCGATATTTTTATAAGAAAATTGTAGCAAAATTTTATAACAAAAAAGTTAAATCTGGTGGTTAATTTATGGTTAATTTGTTGAACCCCCCCAGCTCCTTTAGAATTGGCAACACAGCTGAGACGCATCTTTACATACACTATTTAATCCTAGTTCCCTACTTCAAGTATTGCACCGTTTGCTTAACATTTGATCAGCCCTATCCCTGTCCATTGCTAAGAACGTTAATTAAAGTTTTAGCATGTTTCGCCATATCCTGCACACTACACGCACAATTTTAGAGCACAATACATGTATTCCAAGAAATATATTTAAAGTTTTACTGTTTGAATGGATTCGTTGAAAACACATCCACCACATGCTCTACATGTCTGTACAGCCACAAACTACCCTTCCTTTCGAATTATGTACAACACACGTATAGACATTAAAAAAGACCGTCCTTGAATGCATTCCAGTCTGTTACTACTTGATACATAGATGCGAAAATCAACTTCACTGATAAATCTTAGAATGGTGCATGTTAATAGAAAGGTTTGTTTAAGTTACATTGCCTGAAATAATTGTCTAGAAAAAAAATAATTTTAGTTTATATGGATATATAGAACGTACCATATTATGTAAGTAGTACATTGTAAATCAATTTTATGTGATTTCTTTTATTGAATAACTCACTTACAGTTTGAGATTTAAAACTTTATCAAAATCCCATCTGAGTTTTAAATCATGTACCGGGTACGTATGAATATTCAATCACTATATTGCATGTACATAATAAATAATATACTGGTTCTATAATTAAGTAATTGCGCCATAGAGGCAGCAATTATAAGCTACGAGGTACCAAATTAATGTGTGTCGACATGATTTAAATAAACTACAATGTATAAAGAAGAGCATGATAAGAACTGCTCTTATCTTTTAACTGTGGAACATCCTTAAACCTTACTTATTATCTTCTATTATTAGAAATGCCCCTAACGCAGCATTACACTAAAATAGCAGAAAGAGAATCAGGGATTTCCAGTTGCATATTTTTAGAAAAACAAGTGGAGTTATCTTACTTGCTTATAGTGGTGCTGGATCCAGAACGGAAGTAGATTTACGCTGACAGAAAGCGCTGTGCGCCGCGCTTAAAAATGTATCTGATACATTTTTTTCACTAGCTGGTCCCATAGGACCTACCAGATCAAATGCTGCTCGGCCAGAAGAAACTTGCTTATATTCGGTCTACTATCTTAGTCACTAAGTGTCCTCCCAGAATATTGTCGTGCGCGATTGTTATCACCTTTCGTATAAGAGTTTCAGGAATAAGAAGTTGTTTGAATGTCCGAATGAGCTTATGTCCATCCCCCCGTTCGTCTTTCACAGTCTAAAAACTCCTCTAACATTTTACACAGTAGCCTAATTATTTTTGGGGGGGGGGGGGAGATGAAAGATAGTGTCATGTAGATATGCAGTAAGGTTTTATGAATTTTTATTTTCACCCTGGGGGTCAAATGAAGTTCAAAAATGCCTTTTTATGCAAAAAAAACCCCTGAATTATAGAACTCGTCTTATATTTTTCATAGAACCTTAATAAGTTTTTGGCCTAATGCATTTTGAGTGCTCCGTGGACCATATGTTTCTTTGTTGTTGACTCATCGACTATTAGAATTTTTCGCAATACATTTTGGACTTTGACCATTTTAAAAATTATTAAAATAATTGTTTGTTAACAGAAGCTCGAGATGATGACAAGACTATTTTTGAAACGTACAAGAAAACGAAGAACTGGTTTAAAGAATGTAAAAGATTTTATAAAAATGAGAAGCTAAAGGTGGCTATTTTTGGGAGGTAAGCAAGTCTTTTCAATGACTGTTTTGTGTGTAACATGATAATGTTATCCGTGTATGTTCCATGTTTAAATTGTACTAGTCATAAATAATAAGAATATTTTACAGCACTTCAAGTGGTAAGAGCACAACAGTAAATGCTATCCTTCACAAAACACTTTTACCCTCGGGAATGGGACATGTAACCAATTGTATTTATAAAATCGAGGGTTCTGATGATGGAAAAAGAGAAGAAATTACTTTCAAAATCGATGAAGGCGAAGAGGAAGATATATCGGTAATATAACGGAAATTTACAAAGTCAAATCTTATCACCACGCACTCAAAGGAGTAAAAGGCTACCAGAACAAAAGTCAATTTTCTTTACTGTAAAGCGTCTGCTGATGACAAAAAATCTTTAAAATGCAGTCAGTGCATGAATTTGTTTTCCTCATATTCACTGAAATACAATGTTTTGAAATAAAGCTGACCTTTTTTCAGAAATTAAAGGAATATCTGGACCATGAGCAAGGAGGGGATTTGTCTTTAGACCGTGTTGTTTACATCACCTGTCCAAAACTCGAATATTCTGCATTGAAAGATGTTATTATACTAGACTGGTTCGTATATTTTAAACATAAAAGTAGCAACCATGGGTCATCAAAATATTATCGACCTAATCGATTCAACAACTTACATAAATGAAAAAAAAATGGGTTTCAGATATTATTTAATAATTTCGCTTGAAAAGCAGGAGGGTATATAGTAATACATGTAAGGATGTCCGTCTGGCTGTTCGTCCGTCCGTCTAAATGCTTTGGGGTACTCATCTCTTATCCGCAACTCGTATCATTCTACTGAATAAAATTTGATGAAAGTTTCACGGAATCTTTATTATGTCACCCTTAACGAATCGGGGGCACATATTGCGATTGTACGCATGCTTTTGTTCTCCAGGTTGTTTCTCGGAGATGGCTTGGAAAATATTCCTGAAACTTTCCTCAAAGGACTACCACTGGTTGTAGTTTTGTTGTGTGGTCAAAATGGCTACCATTGCCTTAGAGACGTTCGAAAAGTGACGAGCTTTGTCCGCGAGTGTTCTCTCTGGTCCCTTGAACATAATATTGGTCATGGAACTTTTTTTAGTGATAAGTGATTGTAATTGTGCGATTTGCATTTAAAATGATCAAATAATTGATTATTGCCATGGAAACCAGGGGAAAGTGAAAATTCTTTAACTTTGATTTGTACTGAAAGGACTGATACGAAATGATGGTTGTCCAAACTTAGCTAATGGGTATTGTTTTAGAGATACAAACAAAAAATTCAAGTCTTGTTCAGTTCGGGGCAACATGCGCTATTGCTTGCAATAGCAGACTTTCTAGTTACATTTGCCATTGCGAACCTCCTATTTTACTTTTAGATCCGAAACATATTTCGGGGTTCCCATAGCAAGACTTGGACACTGCCATTTTATATATTTAGGGGAGAAAAGGGGGTATCATTTAGCCAGCTCATTGCTCTTAGTACCTCTATTTTTCTATGTATATCTACACAAAGGTAGATAAAAACAGATGTAAGTATTTATTTCTCGTTTTTATTTACATAAAAAGTTTTATTATGTAAGTATAGATGTTGCTTGACGAACGTAATGAAAGAGTTTGTTGGATATGTGTCATTGCGTAAAAAGATTCGTAGTTAAGTGTTGAAACATATTTCATCAAAACTCGCATCTGAATAAAAGAATCTTTACACTTTGGATAAGACAGGTTACTATATGTTCAACAATCGTTTGCGATTTTTAGCATTTAGTAACATTTGATTCTACGACATTTGATGTTAAAGGGACGTGGACACAGTTTCAACTGTTTTTTGAAAACAATTTTAATTTTAACAAATCCTATCTAAAGCATCATGTAATGATCAACATAAATGTGATCATCATTTATGCTTACCGAAGGAGATACAGTACTTAAATATCTTCATAATGTAAACAAGGCCTTTTTTGTTTATATATAGAAAATATACTAATCACTAAAAATTGTCTCATCGTATTTAGAAAGAAAGATATGGAGATAACAAACAGTATTCAATATAAAAGTCCATAAAACTATGAATTAGGAGCAGGAAAAAACTACAGATCTCCAAAACATCAAAGGTGGGGTCAATTTTTCATTGAGTAAAATTTAAAAAAAAGATGTTGGATCAGGTGCTATGGAGGAGTGAGCATCCCCTGTCGACTGGTCACATCGCCGTGTGCTTCTTGTCATGAACAGGAATTACCTGAAAAATCCGTTTATTCGTACTGTAATAATGGACCAACAATTAGTATGAAAAACGTCAGTCAGCAAAATTAAGTAATGATAAGTTGGTTTTGCTGACAAGGTCATTGTATCGACCATAGAACTTACGAAATGATGATTTTAAACGAGGCTGCTGATATTCTTGCTCCATCAACTTGTTTGTCAATAGTTTACCTCATGTTACATATTATTTATTATAAATAATATGTAACATGAGGTAAACTATTGAAAAATTTTACATGAAGAGCATGCTCTTTCGTATCGAAACAAGTGAGATATATAAACTCCGTGTGCAGGTGATATAGGTACATAATTGCATAAGTAAGGGAAGTTGACAATAGAAAAGTAATCACGTTTATAATAAAGCTTGGTAAAAAGATTATCATTATTGTCTTTTTCAAGTAAAATACCCAAGTATGATTGATTGTTTGTATTTTGATTGAACGTCCCTCGAGGATTTTACACCTATATTGAAAAGCCATCACTTGCCGGTGCAGAGCTGCAAATCTTCTCCTGTAGTCGGCACTCAGTGCCATTGAGCAGGGAGGGGTCTTTTTCGTGCCAGCTCCTACTGTGGGACCTCTGTTTATACGGTCCCATTCGTAGGACCGGTCTCGACGTCCCACAATGGGAATTGAACTGCGATGTAAGGATTCACTCCTTACTTCGCGACTCTAGAGCAGATGCTCGGACCAATGCGCCACGCGGGCGACCATCCAAGTACGAAACAGATATTTAATATATACGTTTCATATATTAATTCGTCTTCTCCACTCGGCGAGCAGGGTGTTGACACTGTTTCTAGAAATAAACGAAAACAGGGCCATGCATGCCACATAATGGTTGTGTAGATAGATTAGCGTAGAAGACAATGTCATTAATCACTTTTTAATTGCATTTCCTCTGAAATTGTAAATGAGTAAGTTTCTGAGGAGTGGTTTAAGGTATCAAATGTATAACAAGCATTGTTGAAGAATGAAATTTTACTTTATATTTCCTTATCTTTAGTGTTTGGAGGCTTTAATTCCAAAGTTACATAAAGTTTTGTCCAGACATATCTGAAAAAAGTAGAATTTTCAAATCATACCTCACTGTCGGAAACAGTGAAGGGTGTGTTATACCAGAAGAGGAATTCTGTGAAATAAACTCATTTTCAGACTGTAATTTTACTTTAGATGAACAAAAATAACATAGACGCTTCATAATAAAAGATTTTTTTCAAAAGTTACAATTAACTAGTAAAATTTCCAGATTAAAATACGTTACTCAATGTTAAGTGTGTATTTCTTATAAAAACAATTAATTCTAATTTTTTTAATTAAAAAAAGAAAAGAGTGGGCTAAAAATTACTTCGATAGAAAATGACTTAAATCAATGTTGTACAAAAATAAAATACATAAAATATTTTTACCAGGATATTTTGGAATAGTTAAGCATTTATTACCCCTTACCCCAATTTAAGTATCCGTTTGCTGATACACAAATATAACTTTTCATTCTCAACACTATTAGTATGATTATGCCATACTTATATATTGATAAGTGTATAAAACAACATAAATAAATAAGCCTTATGACATTTTTAACAATGTCCTTGTCCTTTTAACCTTGAAAAAAAACCCCAATGTATTTATACACTTTAACGTACAAGAACAATTCTGGGAGATAAAAAAAAATGTACATGTAATCTTGTTCTTTAGTTTAAAAGTATGGTATTTTTTCCTCATATGTACAGAGAATTACAAAAAATCATGAAAATGAAATCAATTTAATATAAATATTTATTATGATACCCCCCACCCATCTATTTTTTTCTCTATGAAATAAATACCTAGATTAAAAAACCAAAATGTGTTTCCCTATTTTTTTTTTATTTTTTTTAAATAATAGTAGAAATTATTTAGTCCTAAAAGTTTTGTTCTTTTTTTTTAAATTTTATTTTATTAATTTCCTCTCTGTTACGGGTATTTTAAATACCTTTAATTTAGAACCAGGAAGATTTTTTTTTTTATTTTGGAAAAACAACCTTAGTATACAGTCATGTAGTTATACAACAAAAAAACATCTGTTATGTCCAGAAAATATTTTTATTTCATCAGAGAAAACTCAGGGAATTTTTTTTATGCAAACGAATGGCAATGTACATGTACCGATCTATAGCTGTAACCGCGGTCTAGATCTTAACATGATTATAGCGAATTAACATGATGATAGATGCACACTTCCATGTGTTTTTTTCTACTGAAAAACGAACTAGAAATAACGAAAATCTGTTAAAATATTACATAGTTTAAAGAAATAAAAAAAAATTACCTCATTTTCTCTACACATCGAAAGATGTGCTATTTTAAAATATAAATAAAGGTAACATGGAAAAACCCAAGTATGTATTTTACTTTGAAAAGATTGTTTATGCAGCAATTTGTCTCACAAAACTACTATATCATGGTTTTCTATCAATCTAACATTTGTTCTTTCCTCTGTTAAGTATATTTCTCTCATCTGATGGCATGAATAATGCCAGCGTCTATCAAGCCGTGTTGACGAAGAGCCATGCTTGTTTACGACGGTCGATAACTCTTAGACAGAAACAGTGTTACGACATCGGCAAACGCCGTCATTTTTACCGGAAGTGCCCTGTTTTTCATCTAAATCCTTAATCACCCCTACTAATGTTATTGTTATTTAAATTTACATCACGTGGTTTTTCTTGAACTAGTCAAAGGTCATTAGGTTCGCAGTAAAGGAGAACGTTCATACCTATAGTCTGTTTTCTGTATATAACCCAGATCTTGTCAAACCAGTTACGAGCAATTCCTTTATACAGTTAAAGATACACATCAAATGTTAACAAGCTTATCGTCATCATGGTTCAGGAACATTTAATACTTAGGGTTCCATATCCAATACATCCATCCGGGGAGGGGGGGGGGGGGCTTGGAGTTATTTGGATTTCAGAGCTAGTGCTATAAGTATATATCAAATTAATATTAAATGATACAAAAATATTTTTTAATGAATATTGAATTACAAACAATCTAAATGACTTAGAAACTCAGATCCTGGATCTCTAAACATGTCAAGTTGGTTAGACATGCAGGAAATTAACCCCCTCCACCCGAAACAAACACAATTTATTCTCTTTTTTCCAACTTCATTTTATTTGGAAAGGAGGGATGAGACCCATCCATCTTGCTTCTCAATATTTTTTTTCTCCCATTTTCATACTTCTTTATTTTCAACCCTACCTCTAGGATTTAATAAATATTCCAGAGCACTAAGGATATTTTTATTGAAGGCATGGATGGTTCCAGGAA